AGGTAGTTGGCTTCATCAGGGATTAATTACGCCGTCATCTGAGTCTGGAATGGGTTTTCCGCTTGAACCGGACGACGATGAAGCTATTCAGGGCTTTACTGATGAGATAATTGAGGAGATAAGGTGGTTTAAGGACTGTTAGCTAGCTAATTAATGTATAAAGCTTATATCGATATCGATGATGATATCGATATCGATATTTTCAGTTTGCCTTATATCGATATCGATATAAAACCCTAAAAAAAATATCGATATCGGTTTGCCCATGTATGAGTAGCCAGACTCCTCTTCTTCACGAAAGCGAAAGATTGTTGCCATCAGAGCGCGCGCGCGTGTGTTCTATCATGGCCATGCACTCTATGGGTATGGGCCGTTGCGATGCGCGAGCTATGTACACTCTGCTTCGTCCCGCCTGCTCCAGTTCAGAAGCCATTTACGACAACGGACGGTATCATAGCTAGCTAGCTGTGCTTTGAAATTTGACATTGCATTCAAGCCAGCATAGGCTCCTTATCGATCAAGTTTTACTGGATGCGGGTACACCAAGTAAAGCCAATCCAAGCCACGACCTCACTTTTCATTAATATTGAGCGAAAAGTTCACCGGCCGACCATAAGTCCTGCTCGTCCGATGCCTAACTCCGTGCTTAACAAATGAAAGAAAAAGAAAGTGTTATACTACCGTATGCGGCAAGCTGTAATAGCTGGTCAGGGCCTCGCGTCCGCAGGGCATTTCAGCACCAACCCTATGGTAGGTGCGGGTCGGCCATCCTCCTTGCATATGGTGGCGATGCAATGTACTGCGCTATGATTCTAGCTGCTACTTTAACGATAGCCCATAGAAATGCTGATATCGCACGCTTAATAAGCTATGCCAGCACGGTTTAAACCATCAGCGAAGAGGATAGAAAAATAGTAATCTAACGTTATTCAAGAGCAGCACAGCTACGAGGAAGTCTGCCAAGATCTTAGAACGCTCTCCGATACCAGTCGGGAAAGATGATCGAATCTGTAGACCTTCTGGTCCATTTTGACCACATATTCAAGCAGTTCGACTGCCTGCTTGATCTGTCCGTTGGCCTGGGATGCTACGGCAAGGTGTCACGAAAACGCTCCGCTCCTTCCATTGGGTCACAACTCCCATCCATCGCATCTCAACATTGTGCAGTAGAACAACCTGCACCCATCCGACCTCGTATAACGCGAAGCGATGCTGTCCCAGTCTTCGAAGTATCATCTTGTCACACAACCAGGGAATGGCTTACAATCGACGAAGGCGGTTGGAGAGCTGGGACAGATGTCCGTTGTTACGCATGCAGCTACAGTCGTGCTAAAACAACTACTTACTTGCATCATTCCATAAGCATAACCCTTTTTTCCGAACCTTTTTTTTTTTTTTCAAACACACTTGGTATAACAGAATCGAACGAACCAACAAGGAAAGTTGGCATTTGGCTACAAACTGGGTTATTCAACACGAAGCTCCATGAATGATGCACAAAAAAAAACTCATAATTGTAAGTCAAAAAAGTCATGATAGAGGTAGAGGAGAGAATAAGCGCGTAAAATCGTTCATCGAGCGTTCATGCCGAAATAGATAGGAAATGTCGTCGGACTCCCGTCAGGAAATCATCTTCGACCATACTCTGGAAGGGGCCTTCCTTCTCCTTTTCGTACAGGCCGGTGCTGCCGTAAGGTCCTTTACCCGAAGGACCCAGGGTATCCAGCCAAGACTCCTCCTCTGCCACCTGTGCAGGAGAGAAATCACCGTGGACTAGTTTTAAGCTGGGCTCGAAAATGCAGTCCGCAAAGAACAGTTCAATGTACAGATCGCGTGGAATGACGCTACTGGCTTTGATATCGAT